AGGCCATATTTTTTCTAATTAAATGCTTCTTGTTTTAGCTGTCTATAAGTTACAACGTATAATATTCAAAAGACCCAGGTTGACCAAAACTGCCAGCCATATAAAATTTTCATGTATGGAAAAATGCTAGTCATACACTTTTCATGCTATTCCATTAGTACAGAAAACTGCATGAAAGGTCTATTTTTAGTAATTTTTAATATATGGAAATTGTATGAGTAGCATTTTACCATGAACCAAAAATTTTGATCTATATATTTTAATAACTCAAATTTTTTTGGTCATGTTCGTAACCGAACACAATTGACAAAAAAAAATGGTAGCTCAAACGTAGAGTAACCAAAGATTCGAATTGAAAATGCATTGGAAATGGCCTAAAATGTCAAAAAACACAATGACACAGTAAATATAACGAAAGTATCAAACTTTTATCTTTCGGCAAAAATTTTCAAAGAGGTTCTTTTAAATTCAAATTTTTAAATTACCAGACAATGATCAAGGCATACATGAACCAATCATGCAAAAAAATAAGAGTTTTTTGGGTTTTTTGATAAAAATTCTTAAGCAAAAAGGAAAAAAATTCATTATTAGTGTATCCAGGACTTCGTTATACGCAAAAAATTTTGAAAAAGTTTTTTGAAGAAGGTTTGTTTGAGTACAAAATTCGATTTGCGGTTGAAAAATAAAACACAAAAAAAATTTTGGGGGCATTTTTAAAATCTGTTGGAAAAATTTTGTTGTCGCCATCAAAAAAAACGCTAGTTAAACAATTTGCATTAATGGAAATTGTTCAATTAGCAGTTTTTGATTAGCCGTTTTGAGCTAGGGAGGTCAACACCGTAAAACAATGCTTTAGCGAGAATAATAATCAATTGCTCAATAATTTCATACAAAGAAACAAGCATTTTTTATGATAATCAGACCAGAGTGATGATTTCCAAGAGAATGATTTAGTTTCGAGAGTTCTCAGTTTATCTATTTTTGCTCGCCAGACACCATTATTTTATATAAAGTTTTGTTTCTGAGCTGAAATTTACATATCGACTCTTTCATTTCAGGTCAAGCAATTATCTTGCAGCAAAATCTCAATTATAATATACAATGGTTCCCATATTTTGTTTCACAGAGATTATAAATCTTGAAAATTAAATTCAAATCATTTCACTTCATTCTGTTTAAAATTTGTTAGATGTTTTTTTGTTGACAGATGTATAGCAAGTAGTGCATTTCTAGACTTTGAAACACCCACTCAACCGGCAAACATCTGATTGCCAAACTGTTGGCCATTAATTTCCCCCAATCCTTAGTTAGAACAGCAAAACCAGATTCTGAGTTAAGAATCAAATCTACTTGCTTTTTTGAGATGTAGCTAAGACATTCGAAATGTAATTGTATCTTTCACAATTTATTTGGTAACATCGCTTTTAAATCCTCTGTTAGTTGACTTCAAATTCACTGCCTCCTCCAATAGTTGTCGCTACTTTGCCATCGGATAATCTGCAGAGTCTTTTAATTCATGTTTGTTCAGTCCTTTACTGCTCAACTTAAATTTTTGACTTTTACTATCGTAACAGCAATAAGTTTTGCTACACAGGCTGAGCATTTCGATGCATCTAAACTGCTCCTTGAACAATCCTGGTTCTCTCTTGCCGTGGTTTTTATGCTTAGAGCAGCAAGTACGTGGGAAAAGTTGTTTTTCGCATCTGCTCTAAAATTGTCTCGACAGTCCTTGCTTCGCTTTTCAGACCATTCTGCTCGCTTGCAGCGAAGGATACGTTCATCTAAATCTTCTTCCGCCAAAGCCAAATAGAGGGAATCGGTGTCTTTTTCGAGTTCTTCAAATTTGTTGACATCGCAAAATTTATCCAAAAAATTATAATACAGCTCAAACATTCTCAATTTGGCATACTGTAGTATAAAAAATCCTAGTATAACTGGTTCAGGATGCCCTATAGTAGCTTCAACAAGTTCGACTTCATAAAAATTTTTTGCTACGATATTTAGTCTCTTGATGAACTAGTTATTGATAGAGTTTGGGGTTTTTTCATCACCAAGATATTTTGTCATTGTATGTTTTGATCGGTTCATTATTTGATAGCCGCAAAGAACCTGTTTCAGCCGGTTTCAACAGCCTGTTTCATTGTCTCGGCTACCACACCAGAAAAGTAATTTTCCTCACCGGCTCACCTAGCATCAACAAGAGACTGATGAAAAATGTTGAATATTTTACGCGGTGTGTATTGATCAAGCCGATGATTTTTTGCACTTTGTAGTCCAAGATACAAGTAAAATTTGAAAAGTGGTGTTATAAGTGTTCCGTTGTCAAATTGAGGGTCGATATCAATCTTCGTTGCTGTTGTTTTTACAAATCGTTTCGTTCCGCATATCTTTTCATATATTCCCCAATACCGTTTCTGGTAACATCATTGTTTTTGAAAATAGATGGGGAATTGGAGAAATTCACTTTTATTTCGTCTAGAGCACTCAGATTGCATTGCACGTAGACGAAACTTGTTTCATTTCCGATGTCTTGCAGTAGTGAATAGGTAGAAAGAGGTCATTTGAAGGGAAAGTGAAATTTTGCGTGGTTTTTCTCGTCTACATTGTGTTTCAATTGATCCCATCAACTACACTCCCAAATTTTTTTTATAGAGTATCCTTTTTCTCGAATGCAATATTTTCGAAGCTCGTCAATTTCTCTTTTCTTGGTTCCTTGTTTGATATCATCATCAGTTAGGCTTGGTCTAGTTTCTTGACAATGACAAAAATGGAAACAACAACCCATTGCTTTAAAAACAGTCTTACAATGGTTGCAATAACCATCAACAATGAAGCAATTTGTTTTTTTTCTGTTTTCCTGTAGTGTAGTAACTCACAATTTTGCATTCCAAATTGATTGCTCGAAACTAAGACAAGACCGTATTTTCAAATGTTCGAACTCGATTTTGCCTAGCCCTGAGTTTTTGTGTTTCTTCATTGTATTCTCATCTCGTATACAAGCATGGCGGCCTATCCTGACACATAGATTAAGTATATAGTTGACTAGCATCAAAAGCAAAGATTTATTTACACAAGTTGTTTGTTTTTCAAATAAACGTCTCGTTTGCTACTGCTTTCCTCGTGAAAACAATTAAAGGATCACCTGTCATATCTTCCCATATTTTTTCGAGCAAGTCGTTATCACTCGAAAATAACGGTTAAAACTAATAGTCGGCTGACTTGTAT